TCTTTCAAGGCTCAATGAAAGTGCCTTGTCACAAAAGAACATTGCTTACGAAATTGGTCCATGGCAGTTGCTCTGGATATTTTCAAGCACTGTGGGTGGTGCTACTTCTTTACAGAGGTAATGATGAGCATCTGCGGTTAATCTATAATATCCATCAATTAACGATACAAAAGAGAGAGCTTCTCGTAATGAATGAAATTCAGCCTCCTGCAAAAGTGGGGGTGGGGAGAAAGAGAGAGAGAGAGAGAAAGAGACAGGAAATTATTTTATAATACTTAACACAATCCTCAGGTAGGGATGGGAACAGCATATATAAAATGCCTAATACACATATGCATAGTAAAGATAGACCAAAATAGCTGAACCCTTAATCCTAGTGATAAGCACTTACATGAGTAATTACTTTCCATTGAATACCTGTGTATGTGCTCAGAAATAAGTAAAATTCATTCTAAATATCTGGGCTGTATGGAGATATGTTTTCCCAAAATCTAGGGCATCACTAACTTGCAACCGTTTTTTTTTTTTAAATCACCATCTATTAAAAGTCACATGAGCATTCAATATGTCCAAACTCAAAGGGATCTATTTCTGCTTTAACCCCAGGGCTGGTCTCTATAGAACCTGGCTCGACTTCAAGTTCAGTAACTGTCTGAGTTGTCTCCTGGCCTGTGAGATGAGACTGGTTAGCCATGAACACTGCCTTCTGATTCTGGGCCAAGATCTTGTTCCCCAGTCTTCTGCCTGCCCTTCTTTCTCACATAGCCTTCTGGAGTTTTGAAAACAAGTCTGGGGCTAATTCAGAGAAGATGGGAAGTGGGCTGCACACTAGAGTCCTGATATCAGATATGGAGTTACTATTCCCTCCCCCCCATTCTTTCACCGGAAGTCGATTTTCAAACCCTACAAAATCCTGTCCTATGAACACAGGCTATTTAAGGTTAGGGACTGTAGCTGCCACCAGCCTTGTGGTGCTTCCCCGAATCTCTATTTGTACAGGAATGGCCAGTTAATAATTAACTTCCCATACACACAGGTTATTTTCCAGCATTTCAGACAGCTAATTTTACCCCACCAGTTTCCCAGAGATCAGCATGACTTGTCTTCTGGAATCTATCAAGACAACAATCTCTGTATCATTCAACTGGAATGGACACACACATTTATGTTGAGTTATAGCTATTGCTGCAACCACACAGTCTCTCACTGTTCTGTGAGTTGCACTGCATGGGGATCCTCACTGTTAGGACACTGAGTTGCTCTATGCCCTAGCCCTCGCACAAGCATAACATTTATACATAGCCCTTGATATCCCCCTATTCTACGGGTTATTAGGTCTTATCCCATAGCCTTCTCTCCCTGGTTTCCCAAGTCCATTCCCAGCCTCAGGTCTCACTTCACCATCCCTCCACCCCCATATAACCCTACCCCAAACTTTCAAAGGCGTATGCATTTGGGTCTACGCATCTCTTCTCTAGGCACCCTAGAAAGCTCTCTGGCTATTAAGTAATTCTCCAGGAAGGCAACCAAATAGCTGTCATCAGATGGGTCATTTTGGCCAACACACCATCCCAGGCAGTAGTCCTCTGAAGAACCTATCCAACGTCTACAATGTTTTCCAGGCCACTAGTCTCAGGGTACAGCCACTTCTGTGTTAGATGGATCAAACGGAACACCTGCTATCTTGGGGCATTGTTACCCTGTAACCTCCACTTGTAGAATCTCTGGGTCTCCAGATTTTCCTAGGATCTCAGTTTTCAACTGGGCATAGTCATAGACAATTTCTGCAGCCATGTCCCACACAGGAATGGGAGCAAGGATACTGATCCCTGGGTCTTGGGGCGAAGTCACTAAGAGGTCTGCTCTTTCAAGCATGAGAAGATAAACCTCAACATCACCCTTTGGCATCATCTTTTGTAGGTAATCATCAGCCTTTAAGACAGAGTTCCCTTGTGGCCACCTACTAGAATAGTTAAGGCCGTCAGCTGTCCAGCTACTTCCTGTAGCATGATGTGGTCCATATGCCATTTGATTCATCAGCTGTTGGTTCATCTCCTTTTATTTGTATTGATTCCTGTTGAGCAGCCATCTGCACCGTGGTAGCCTCCTGTTGTGGTGCAGTGGCTTGACCAGCATCCTCACCATGTTAGCCACTCTCAGCAATGGAAGTGTCCACTGAGTATGAAACCACGCCTCACGTGGCAATGCACATCACATCAGCCTCAGCAGTTACCATTCTGGTGAGGAGTGCAGGCCTGGAGTAAATCAGTCCTTCTCCACAAGTTTATAATTCCTCATAGTGATTTATTTACCGTTTTTACAAGGAAGGCCTTAGGGTTGGCCCATGTGTGCTTCCACCAAAAGCACTGACCCCTTATTATACTGGCTCCTAGCTGTCAGCCCTTCTCCAGCTCAATATTTTCCTATGAGAAGGAGAACAGCTCTCCAACTAAGAAGAAAGTTATTCTCCAACTTTCTGGAGCTTGTTCTTGTCCCAGTTCTCTCGCTGAAAAGATTTCTAAGGCCATTGTGGCCTTCATCTGGGCTCAGTTGTCCTTAATTAATGAGGTCACTTCTTTTCAATTCACAAGAAGGAAGGCTTTAACTAGCTGATATCCCTGCCTTTCACCACCCTCCTACTGCTGTCTGACTTTATCACTGTCCATTTTTACCCTGGAGTAACTCCGTTGGTTTCAGCCTGGAATAGCACAATGGTGATTCAAACCCCATGTAACGTTCCTCCCCTGTCTAGTTTCCAACGTCAATAACTTAGTTCAACTCAGAGAAAACAGATTCTGCATCGGCCACATGACCAGTGACTGTATTTTCTCTTATTTTCTCTAGTAGTTTATTTGAATAACATGAGCTATATACCAGTAGTTGAGATCTCAAGGGTTTTTTGAAGATTATCTAGTGAAACATGATGTGGCTAGGAGAAAGACTGTTTAATAGACTATACAGTGTAACCTTACATAACATGGTTTTCGATAAAACAGCTGTATAATAAATATTTTAAAATACTCTGGTCATGATTTCCTAAACTTTGTTTAAACACAAGAAAAGCAAGTACCTATTATATGTCAAGCACATTGTCTACAAACTGTTGAACTACGATTATACCAGCTCTAATATTAAATACCTAAAACTGGACACACACTGGTTTTCACTTTTTCTTAAGAGAAGATCTTTAATAAAGCTTTTGTGCTGAACAGTAACTTGCACATACTTCCTGGCTGCAGTAATATGATCCAACTGCTGTATTTATGAAAAGAGCTACAGGTGCTGCACAATAATGGATGAAATACAATGCAGGATGGACTTAAAGTCTTTAAAGACTTTAGTTGCAAAATAAAAATTATCAGTATAAAAAAGAAAACATTTGTTACAAAATATCATTGATATAAAAAGGCAAAAGGACAAACCACTAAGTATGCATATATGAGCAACCTCTGCAATTTTCTAAATGTCATGAGAGGGGAGAGAGATGGGGAGGGGAAAACCAATTACCTCATGTGTTTAGTTTTATTCAAATCAATATAACTAACTACAAAAGTTATTATGTTCCATATCTTTCATGCACCTTCTATTTTCTGGCTTCCCCAATATTATTTTTTGAGACAGCTTCAAAAATGTGTTAAGATAATTTTGGAAAAACAAATCTTGTGAAGACAACTCTTATTCCAAAATGGTCCTCTCACTCAACCAAGAAAAAACTGAAGAAGTTGGGCACTGGATACTGAAAATACTTCTCCCTTATTTTATGTCAGTGTCCTCCGATCTATGGATTTTGTCACTCCTTCATTTTTTACTGAAAATACTTCTCCCTTATTTTATGTCAGTGTCCTCCAATCTATGGATTGTCTCATTCCTTCATTTTCCTTACATTTTAGATTAATCTTAACTACATTGTAGGCTGTCCTAGACCAACCATACTTCTTAAGAAAAAGGAACTGTACTATTGTAATAGGAAAACTGAACATGTTCATTACTGAAGTGGGAAAAACATCAATGAAAGAGGTAATGAAATTAGTGTTCTTTAGTAATCCAAAAGTGAAACTATTGTGGTAAACATCAAACATTTCTCATGCATATACATGACAGGGGAAGACTATATTAAAAACCATTTGTTGACATTGACAGCTTAATTATCGGCTATTGTAGATTGTATGTGACTACTGAAAAATAAATTACATCAAATTTAAAATAATTCTGAAAAACAGTAATATTTTTAAAGGCAGCCTTAAAAACAGAAGATGACTACATTCTCATTCAAATGTTCTGGAGGGTTTGGATTTACTTTCTCTAGGAAGAAAGAACCATTTTAGCAGTACATCTGTCTTGTGTGCATACCAACAAGATGTAAATCTCTGATCAGAGAGGAAAATGCCTGAAACAGAAAATGTGATGTTACACATATCAGTAATGAGGATCAAGAAAGAAACTATTGCACCAAAAGGTTATCTCATATGGGAAATGGTGTTGGTAATATTATGTTAGAATTAAAAAGATGAGCAACTTTAGCTTTTTAGTTCACACACAAATTCTCTTTACAATATATTATAAGTGACTTGTTTACACTGTCAGGCTAACACTTTTCAAAACTCATACAATATTTCAATAATAGCTATACGTATTAGTTTTGTACCCTCTCTCTTGCTGGAGGTATATAATATAATTTCTCCTTCAAACTAATCTTTAATCCCAATCCTGTAGTTGTGTGCATGTAAGTGTACTGCTGTGTCCATGCACAATGAATTGCAGGATCAGAGATGAGGTTAGTTAAAATTAAATAAGCTTAATAATTATTTAGCTAGGCACAATGAAGATGTAGAATGAACTGCATATAAAATGTCGCTGTTAATTTCAAATCCTTCTTTTCAATTCCAAGTCCATGTTTTGATGCTTCAAATACATTGGCATGTCTATATACTGATCACTGTTAAAATGTTCAGTTTTACCTTTTGCCTAATTAACATCACAATAATTTTTCCTGTATCCCAGGTTTAATAGAATTCTGATAATGCTACAATATTCACCTGCATAATCAAACCTGTATCAATATATTCAAAAATAAACATACCAGATTCTTGCTGTCTTGCTTATGAATAGTGACAATTCTATTCTCACTGGTGACAATTCTACTCTCACTGGAGCCTTCTTGGTTTGCTTGCTTAATGCTGACATCAATTATATCAGGAAAATCACAGTATGTCTGTAATTCCTGTAATAAATGTTTGTTATTATAAATACAAGCACAGTAAATGTTTTTTAAAGTACAATTCAAAATTCTAGAACTTCTACAACAACAGATAAATATTTCACCACCTTAAAAATGATGACAAATGCAAAACACTAAAGATCAAATAATCACAAAATGGATGCTTATTTGCCTTGGAAAAACACCTTGAGATCCTCAGATGAAAAAAAAAAACAATAAAAATCCTGTATATTACTTTAGCTATTAAAGGCTTGCACAAATGGTACAGTTGCATAAACTTCAGCATGTGCAAGGTTACTTGGTGCTTCATGAAAACATGGCTCAGAAATGACAAATTTTATGTAAGTTTTGGAGGGATAGCCATGTTAGTCTGTATCTGAAAAAACAAGGAGCCCTCTGGCACCTTAAAGACCAACAGATTTATTTGGGCATAAGCTCATCAAATGTTATCAATGAATGTGTAAAAAGTTAATTTAAATGGCCTAGTTTTCTATAAAATAACTCCAGGCATTATCATTAGAACCGTCTCTTGAAAGCTGCTTTTCACTTATAGCAGGAACATTTTATATTAAATTAGGGATGTCAATGTGCAGTCCACTACACAATTAACTGATAAACCTTATCTGATCAGTTAATCATGTCGACTACATACATTCCCACCCTCCCCGCTGCCTCTGTATCAGAGGCAGCAAGGAGGGGAGTTAGCGGGAGCTGGTGCCTGTGGGGACATGGCTTTAAGCAGGCTCCCTACAAGCACCAGATCCACCTGCCCCCCTCCTTGTGCTGCTGCCTTTGACAGAGTGAGGGGGGCAGGGTGGGGCTGATATGGTTGAGAAGCCGGCTTTCAAGCAGGCTCCCCATGTGTGCTGGCTCCATGGATCCACCTGCCCCTCCCTCGCTGCCTCCTACAGATGCAGTTGGGAAGGGGGGAGGAGCAGCTTAAAAGCCAGTTCCCTCCAGCACCAGCTCTGCAGTGCCGCCTGCCCACCCTCACCCCCCGCTGCTGCCTATCAGAGACAGCACTGGGGAGTAGGCAGGGGTGGCTGCCACAAAGTGGCCTCTCTCCGCAGCAGCCTGGGTTTGCCGTGGCAGCAGCCCCTGTCCATGGAGGGTCCAAGCTTCCAGCGGACGGAGGTGGCTGCCTCCCCACGCTGCTGCCTCTGTATCAGAGGCAGTAGCACGGGGCAGCAGGCGGAAGCCAGTCTGAGCAGGGAGCTGTTTTTTGAACTGGCTCCCCTGGTGGATCAGCTCCCGCTTGCCACCCATGTATCAGAGGCAGCAGCATGCTGTGCTAGGGGTTTGCCAAGGAATGTGGCAGGGAGCACACTGGCTACCGCCCCGCCTCCCAGGGACTATCGAAAAGTCATGTAACCGCTAAGATTTCATGTGGTTACACAACTATTCAATTACATGATATCTAACATCCCTCCATTAAATCATCAAAATGATACAGATGGTAAATATCCAAAGCTCAGCTCAGTCTACAGTGATTCAAAAAGCACAAATGAAGAACTATCGAGGTGTTTATACGTAATTTAAAAAGTCTTGCACTGTGTGGTTCAAGTCAAACCCCACTTTTTATATATATATATATATATATATATATATATATATATATATATATATATATATATAATATATATATCTATATATATATAAAAGCACACAAAATATATATATATATATATCTATATATATATATATATATATATATATATATATATATATATATCACATCAGAACTACCAAGTCAAAATCATAATTCATTCTTCACAAGTTGGATCTTCCTGGTCCGGCACCTTCAGGACTGGACCAGTTCCAGATGAGGGATTTTGCTGGACCAGGGGAGGCCATTTCTGGCTCTTCTGCCACTGGGTCCTCCAGCCCGGGCCCAGCCATCCCCGCCGGGCAGTTCCCCTGCTATACCTTGGGATCCCACTGCCCTGTCAACCTGCAGGGCTCCCAGTTGCCAGCCCTTCACCAGGACGTTTTGGTTCTGGAGCATCCATGGTCCAACAGAGTTTCAACCTACTGCGTTAGAACCAACCAGTACATGTAACATAACCAGATAACTCTGTTACCATGCCCATATGCAAAATCCTTAAAATAATAAGTTAACCCATATTCATAAGGATTACCTGTTCTGTCAGCTTTTCACTGCTTTTATGTTTCCCTCTTGAGCACTGAATTCCGCCATTTCCAGTTATTACAATGGTCGCAAAACTCTCTTCACCTAAAGGACCTCTGCAAGGCTCTCTTACTTCAAAAATCTCTGAATAGAAGGCAGACTGAAGGGATTCCAGATTTATAAGGTATTTAAGTTTCAAGTTTCTGGCACTAGCTTTGCATTGGCCAAACTGCTGGATAAATTTGCGGAATCTGTACCTTATTCTCTTTCGTGTCAAAATATGGTAGTCTTGGATTTTTGCCCGAACACATTTAGGCAAAAAATTCTTGTAGCTGTGAATACAAGATTAGCATAAAAATTCTAAGATTTATCTATGAAGCCTAGAAAAGGAAATAATTTTTTAATGAATACAAAGCCAAAATGAAAACAGTTTATCTATCAAATGAACTACTTACTGTGATTTTAAAAGATATTATGATCTTTATTTCAACCACCAGTAAAAGATGTTGAAAATGAAATCACACCTCCATTTTCTATTTTTCATTTAACCAGTTTCAACATTGCTGTTTCCATACACCTGAACATTTCTGATTTAGCCATTATCATGTGGGGTTGGAGAGAAGTCCAGTCAGCCAGTATATATTGATACTGCTAATTGTAAATTCCCATATCTATGCTAACAAAATCCTGATCTTTCTAGATCATTCAGATTTATAAACACAAAAACAAAACCATATTTCTCAAATTCAAAGAGATAACCAACAATGCTATTCTACATCATGAACTAAGCCTGGTACTGGGAGGTTGGATTTCTTAACTTTTGAGTGCTTTATGTTCTCACAATTAGTGTTCTGTTAACATTTTCTATGTGTAACTTAAAAGATGCCAAAATCTGAAGACTATCTTAAATCAAGTTTTATTTAATCAGCTACCATTTATGTCACTAGCTCTGGCAGCATCTTGTTAACTAAATGATTGAAAAATGAAAAGATATTACATTTTAAAAGTTATGACATGAAGATGTTTAAGAAAAGAATGGACCCAAAAAGAGAGGGTTACTCACCATGTGCAGTAACTGAGATTCTTCGAAATGGTTGTTCCTGTGGGTGCTCCACCTTACGTGTCTGGGGTCTGCTGCACCTCTAGCTGGAGAATTTAGGTAGCAGTGCCCTTGGTAGGCTGCGCATGCAGGACAGCCCGTATGCGCTGCTGCTGCCATTCCACATGCGCAGCCAACCATACCTTTACTGAGGTGCGGTAGCACTCAAACACCTAAGATGGAGCACCCACAGGGACAACCATCTCAAAGAACCTCCGTTACTGCATAAGGTGAGTAACCTTCTCTTCTTCTTCAAGGAATGTCACTGTGGGTGCTGCACCTTAGGTGACTATGAAGCAGTAGTCGTGCTTGGAGGAAGGAGGATCATTTTAAGGATGTTAAAGAGCAGTTATTCGGCTAATCATGTAATTGATACAATTTGTATCAACTACACAATAAGAAGGCTGCTCTACAGAGCTGCAGCAGGGGTAGATCCCAGAGCCGGCTCAAGCCAGGACAGAGCTGCAGCAGGGGTAGATCTCAGAGCCGGCTCAAGCCAGGACTCAGAAGTCCTGGCTCTAGACTGCTGTGGCTCTGAATTTTAAACGTAGTAAGAACCGCCCGGCTCTTACTACATTTTAAATATGGAGGCACGGCAGTCCCGGACCAGCATGAGCCTGGACTGCTTGGCCCTGGCTCATACCAGGTCCAGCAGCCCCTGTTTGCTGCAGCATAGACTGGCCATGCTCCCTGTTGGAACCCCCGTGGACGTGGGCTGCTATTGGAGCAGCCTTCCCTATGTGCCCCCATGCTGCCTCTGATGGAGGCAGCGGGGAAGGTGTGCAGGCAGCACTGAGGAGACGATGCTGGAGGGAAATGGCTTTTAAGCTGGCTCCCCCACCCCAGCACCAGCTCCTGTTCCCCCCCTTGCCATCTCTCATACAGAAGTAGGGAGTGAGCAGTCGAGTACTCTACTTGTCTATCGGGTGCTTATCGGGTAGTTGAGTAGTCGACCACTCACTTACATCTCTACTTAGTTGATTGCTTTTAGGCACAGCAGCTAAACCTGGCCAAAGTGAGTGCCACACGACAGGTAAGTATCAAGCGCATGGTGCTTGGTAAACATATGCGCAGAGGACTGTGTGGCAGTTCTACAAATGTCTATCAGAGGTATGTTGTTCAGGTAAACTGTAGTAGGTCACCTTTGCCCTTGTGGAATGAGCACGTAGCTGCAGCAAAGGGTCCTGCCTGAAGGTATGGTAAGCCAGTCTTATACTGTCCCCTGACCACATGGACAACCACTGCTGGGAAACAGGCATGCCTCTGGATCTTTCAGTGGTTGCTACAAATAATCTTGGTGATTTGTGTATCTGTCTAGTTCTGTCCAAATATAACGTGACCGCTCTGCAGACGTCCGGTGTGTTCCACGCAGCCTCTCCCCGTCCCTGCTGCTTCTATTAGAGGCAGCAGCGCACGGGGGAGGGAGGGCAGGTGGCTCTACAGAACCAGTGCTCAGGGGTAGCTGGCTTTTAAGCTGATACAGAGGCAGCAAAGAGAGGGGGGGAATGCACGCTGATACAGAGGCAGCAAAGGGGGGCGGAATGCACATACTCAACAGGATTAACCGATAAACCTGGTCTTATCAGTTAATCATGTAATCGTCTACACAATGACATCCATAACAGGGATCACAAAGGTATGGAGAGATGGTCAGGAGATATTGTCTCTGTTAAGCTACAGACAACACTACAAATATGTTTGGGAATCACTGCTCTCGAACAAATCTGTTGCCAAAAATGGCGTGTCTGTTAATTTGCTAATTGCTTGGGCAACATGAAAGAGAAAGGCAGAGTAAGAAATAGTAAACTCTTGAGTCATCCTTCTACTGTATGTGAAAGTAAAAGTAAGGAATTACCTGACTGAATTATAGACAGCCAGGGGAGTTTGGTCCTTTTCTTTGGCCACTCTCATCATATCAAGAACAGCCATTCCAAGGCATTCTTCTTGTGTTTCATGAGTAACAGGTATCTTTATCCATCCATGCACAAAATCTTCTCGCCACTGAGAGAAAAAAAAAAGCGCAAGCAACGAGTCTGAAAAATTTACTTCATTGTAATCTCTCTTTTACAATATGCTCTTTACTGAACAATCTTATGACGCCATTCTTCAGTACTCAGAGCTCTGTGACTGGCTCCCAGCTATCGTTCAACCCTTGGCAGCCCAGTTCTTAAAAGGTTTGTATTGCTGAAGTCCCACAAAGCCTGTTCAGGGATGGATGGTATGGTCCTATATTTCCAGGCATACTGGGGGGGGGGGGCGGGGGGAGGGGGAACCTGACCCTTGCTGAGGGCTATGACAAGGTGAATGTAGCACAGTCCTTCGTCCCTTCCCTCACAACATGGATCCACGGGGTTTTCATTTTCTCTTACTGCACAAGCACAATATGGCCCTGAGTTTTGTCAGCATATTTAAGACTGGCCTCTGAGAAATTAAGTTGTCTGGGCTGTTTCTGTGGAACATTCTCCAGATTCTACATTTGGATGATGGTGGCAAAAACAGTTGCAAAGAGGTTAAAAGAAAAAAGGAGCTAGTCATGACTTATCAACTGAAAGCCATACCTGAGCAAACAGATAAGACATGACAAGGTCATCAAAGACAGGGCTCTCTGCACCTCTGGAAACACCATAACGATATGCTCTGCTACTGCCATTACAATACCAGTGAGGAAAATAAAACCTGTTGAGGAACACACAAACTGTATAGCTAGGAAAATATCAATAAAAAGAAAAGTGTGTATGTGCTGAAAAAGACCACACACGTTAAACACAATCACTTCGCAAAGTTAATGTTTCTTTTTATATATGACTCCCTGTAGCAAGGTTCTTGGTCCTTTAGAAACCTCTTGTGGAGATACTTAGGTTATTATAACAACGTCCAAGGAAGACAAGATTATACTACACCAGAGTGAACAACTGCTACATGATCCCAAAGACGACACTATGGGTATGTCTACACTTGCTCCCTATCTCGAGATAGGGATGCAAATGTAGTGTACCGAAATTGCTAATGAAGCACGGGATTTAAATATCCCGCACTTAATTAGCATAATCGCGTCCAGCTGCCATTTTGAAATCGCATTATTGCGAAATAAAACGCCCCATGTAGCAGCATTATTTCAAGAGAAAACCCTTCTCTCAAAATAACTGTTATTCCTCATACAATGAGGTTTAACAGTGTCGAGAGAAAGGTTTTCTCTCGAAATAACGCTGCTACATGGGGCGTTTTATTTCGCAATAATGCGATTTCAAAATGGCAGCTGGACGCGATTATGCTAATTAAGTGCGGGATATTTAAATCCCGTGCTTCATTAGCAATTTCGGTATACTACATTTGCATCCCTATCTCGAGGATGTCTACACTTGCTCCCTATGTGTATCATGCCATTTAGTTTAATACAAGGTAACAGCATAGCAATTAGTAAAATGATTCTTGTAGAAATGATACTTGGTTGCTGCAAACATTGTAACTGCTCCCAATGTGTCTAAATCATATTTTAGATTACTAAAATAAATGTTTGGAACTAGGGGCAGCACTAGACAATTAATATGATGTAACTACAGAACAGAAAGCTGCCTTCTAATTAGGGATGTGAAAGTGTAACCATGTACATGGTTAACCGATGATTCTGGGCTCATCAGTTAATGTGCATGGTTACATGAAGGACCCCACCTCGGCTGCCACTGTATCAGAGGAAGCAGCAAGGGGAGGAGGCAGACAGGAGCTTTAAACGGCTGGCTCCCCGAGTGCACTCCCCCAAACCCAAACTGTGTAACCACTGAAAATTCCAGCAGTTACATGTTTACTGGAATGAATGCATTTTAACATTCCTAATTCTAATCCAACTAACAAAACTGCCAGCTGTAAATTCTGATTCCTGAATCTCTCCTGCTCATAACACACTATATAAAACAAACTGCGTGATTTTTTTTTTTTTTTTTGTGTACCTGGTTGATCTTACTTTGCCTTATACAGATGACATTAGTGGAAAATTAACAAAATACTCTAAAAAGAGTTAAGATTTTCAGGCTGACCACAAGCACATTTTAAATTGGAATTATTAATATGATTGGAGTACTCTGCTGTGCATCTGTGCACTCTGGTAGTCATTCTTATCTTACTCCTATAGTAGAATGGGGGACAAGCTAACATGCACACACAAGAAATTTCAACACAATAATTTCAGCCTACCTGGTTTGGGCATTTGAATTTGCAATGAATTTACCAAAGGGACACCTATGGTACCTTATGCATTTCAAGAAAATAAATGCCTTTTCATCAGGAAAAAATTGCAGATACACAGCTCAAAAAGTTCACTTTCAGAAAAGAGATTTTGTTCATTGGATAGATACAAATTTTGCTCTAGGTTTCCTGATAATTGGATGGATACAGACACATTTTAGCCACAGAAGGAAGGACTTTTTACATTTTCAAACTTCTGGCAATTACATTAGCATCATAACTCAAAACCGCAAATTCATAAATAAGAAATTGGCCTCTTGTTATTTATCTTAAACAAAAATAATTGGAACCGTATGTTCTTTCAGTACCTTTTTGGTGTGTTAATCTAAAGAGTCAAGTAGACCTATCTTCAATACAAAGTCATGTAAGGTACAAATGATTATTCAGTTTACTGAATCCAACATCGTATGCTTCCTACCAAGTACCTAATAGTTCAAATGGAAACTATAATTCATTTTACATTATATAGTTTGCTGCTGTTTTGTTATTTAGCATTTTGCATAAATATGAACAATAAATCACAGTTCTTTTTAAGATGTTATCTGAGTTGTCATACTACCTTATTCGGTAGAGTAAGTTCAGCCTGGTTGATTCTTCTACATGGAAGATGTGATTTGGAGGATACCAAAGTCTCTCTGTTTCATTCATTAGTGCAAACATATTATGGTACACAGGCATCATACCTAGTAAAGCAACAGAAAAATAAATGTTTACTGAGAAGTTCCTTCTTATTCAGGAGAAGTTCCTTCTTATTCAGAAGATATTTTTTACAAGGAAGAAAATGCACCCTGGTAAAAAGTGGTAGGTAAACTGATAGTATTTGAGAGTCTTTTTAATTGATTATCCATAGCACTGGTAGGTCACAGTTGCATTGCAAGTTTCTGCATGCTGCAGTTTATTTTCTGCCTCTGTATCATCTCATTGTTTCTTTATGCTCCTTGCCTGATTGTTGTATCCACTTGCTGTCATCACTCATCTAGTCAGAGCTCCTGTTCACCACAAGCCATAGAACTTCCCCAAAATAATTCCTAGACCTTTTAGAAAAACATACAATCCTGAGATCCTGATTTAAGCACTACCAGTAACAGAAAATCCAACAACTCTCCACAAACTGTTCCAACTGCTAATTATTCTCACTATTAAAAGATTCATATTTTATTTCCAGTCTGAATGTATCTAGTTTCAACGTCCATCCACTGGAGTTTGTTATACCTTTCTTTGCTAGACTGAAGAATCCATTATTAAGTATCTATTTCACCTGCAGAAATGGACAGAGTATGCACAGTCATTCCTTAACCACTTGGTTAGATAAATAGATTGAACTCCTTTAGTCTGTCATTAAAAAGCATGTTTTCTAATCTGTTCCTCATACTTGAGGCTTTTCTCTGAACCTTCTCCAATGTATTCACAGCCTTCTTGAACTGTGAGCACTAGAACTGGACACAGCATTCCAACTGAGGCCACATCAGGGCAAAATGCAGAGTTAAAATAATCTCTCTATTCCTACTTGAGATTCCCTTATTTATGCATCCCAGTAAAGGCGATGTCCCCTCCTCTGCATATTTCTGCTAGGTCCTCCTCCCTGTGAGGAAGCTCCTGGAGCTGGCGAGATGCAAAATGCAGCCATGGGACGAGGCAGCAGCAAACAACTGGGAGAAGTATGGAAAGGCCATGCGAGGACTATGCGGGAATGGTCCATAACTCAAGCCGTTAGTGCGGAGACAAACCTTTACATTGTGCCCTGCCACTATCAGCAGATACTAGTTGCGTCTGCACCCTAGGATCTCACTAACTCCTTTGGTCACTATGTCACACTGTTAGCTCAAATTGTGCTGATTATCCACTATGACCTTCAAATCTCTCTCAGAGCTGCCGTTTCCCAGGAGACTGACCCCCAACATGTAAGTTTGGCCTACACGGTGTGTGTGTCCTGTCCACATCCCTGTTCCTCCAGCAACTTCTGTTTCACTGGGAAGCCAGGATGGTGGGTGGTGCTAGAACTTTTAAATCGTTTCTGCACCACTGGAGGATGACTTTTATATGAGGAGGATATTCCCAGGGCCAGACTGGCTGGATTTAGGGATGGATTATTAATTTAAAGTGGTGGAATGCAGTTGCAACATGCCAGAGGACGTGGTCCAAGATGTTTCACCAGGTTTTGTCAAAGTAAACAGAGTGAGAGCCAAGATGTGCAGTGCCAAGTAGAAAAGTAAAACACCTATGAGGTGTGCGGGAATTGAGTCATTGACATCAGAGTCAATGACAATTGTACTCAGTCTAGTCATAATAAATGGAACCCACTGCCCTTTGTACATGAATCCCAACTTTGTGACAACAGTAAACATCAGGAAGGCCAGCGCAGTTAAGTAATCATCACAGAGAATTAGTAATAAAGCAAATGCAACAATATTCGGTGATTCTTTCTCTTTTAAGACTGTAATTTCATACCTAAACACCTAAAAACATTTTTAAATAAACACATAGTAAGTGAAACTGAATAACATTAATACATATTTTTCTGAAACTACTTCGAGGGAAACTTTACAGAAAGGAACAATGTATTGCTAAACACATTTATTTTAGTGTCTCATGGCACTCTGCAATATTAACTAGAGGTAGCTGGAAAATGGTTTAAAGTTTTCATTCGGGAGTTTTCCAGTGAAACAATGGAAAGCAGACACAATGTGAAAAATTTAGTTTAGCTGAAACCCAGTTTTCCCTTGAAGTAAGTTCAAACAGAATGTCTTCCACCAGCTCTAAGAGAGACACATCTCACAAGTGATTACAATACTGCTGCATGTCAATAAAATTATGGCACATATAAACTGACCACCTTATAGAATTATAAAGCTCTAGCTACACTGCAGTGTTTAATAATGGTAAAGTTTCTCAGGAATCTATTGACTATGGAATAAGGATGAAGCTGGGAGACTGAAAACTGAATCTTCTTGAGAGTAATCAGTTTCCTGCATCCCAAGAATCTCTAACAAATTTGGATGACACCAGAAATTGGATCTTGTGATTATTTTTGGCATAACAACATAAGAACAATCAGACCAATGGTCCATCTTTCTAGCCCATTATCCTGTCTTCCAACAGTGGCCAAATGTAGCAGAAGAGATTAAAAGACCAAAGCTTATGAAAAGAAGATCATGACCATAAAGACAGTGGGAGTGGAGAAGGGGGTGAAGTGCAAACCCTACGGACAGATTTTCAAACATACACTTTCATATGCGCTCTACTCCCAGCACACACACATACACACACACACACACACACCCCTCTGAAACGCTAGCTTCCTGGAACAAAGTCATCTTTTCATGACATTTGCATGTGACCCACTGAGTGTTTCCCTCCCCCCCCTCCAGTTGATCTTGCTCCCTTTTTGGCTTCTTTCTGATGTATAAAGACCCAAAAGGTTTTAAAAAATATTTTCTGCCTTTTTATTTGTTTGTTTTTCAAATCTTAGCGGTATTAGCTCTGGCCTTCCCTGATTCTGCTGGAGGACTTCCTGGATCTATCAAGAGCCTGATCACTGTAAGTTCTCAGGGCTAACTGGACTAAAACAGAGGTAACAATGATGTCCCTTTCCCAAAATGTTCATCATTAGAAATTGTTTTAAAATGAATTAAAATTAAATAAAACACAAAGAGCAAGAGTCTCAGTCTCAGACTTGAAAAATCTTAACTTTTCTAAATGAAATAGCTAGAAAGGGACCTTCATTTTCTGAACAGGATAAAGTTTACTGTTCAGTTCCTGTGAAAGTTTCATTTATGCCTGTGGAAAGGTATGATCTGGTTCTCAGACTGAGGAGTTTCAGACTGAGGAGTCTGGAAGTCATGGGAAAAGAGGCTAGTATGAAATCTAAAATATCACAGGCATGAGTCATGATTAAAGGCAATGGGACTGTTCAAATAAAAAGGAAGAAAGATAATAGGATTTTTAGGTAAAAGCTTATACAAAAAGAACAAGAGATAAAACCACATACGTAAGTTAGGCAGAAGTTAAAAACAAGAGAAAAATTACGCAGGGGCTATCAAGCATAATACAGAAACAACAGGCAAGAGTTAAAAGGAAACTAAACAAAGATTCAGGCACAAAAGGGGAAATTAAACGGAGGGGAGGAAATTGCATGTGGCATCTCTCACTGCTCTGTACAAAGTCTGATTAGATTCAACTCTTCAGGGCAGGAGACCTATCTCTGACATCTTGTCTAAAGTACATGATGCTAACAAAAAAAGTTCAAGATTCATTTACATTTCTGATGTGGTTAATCAACTTGTTATATGTAACAGAGCACTAACTTGCTGAGAAAATGTGATTCGCTTGAGGCATCGATTTGAAACTACTGCAGAACAGCATCAGTCCCAATGTACAGATACTTGGCTTACAACAAAATAGTAAAGCGGCCTAACTCAAAAAAGGAATCTAAACAGGAAAATCATATGACACTTGCTTGGAATGGACTCATTGAAATCAGAAAGAGCTGCCAGCCTTACAGATGATTTTCAAGAAATAAAAGTCATGGACATACAGGAAACACAGTTATGAAAAACATTGTGTAATGTAACAAAAGAAAAACCAAAACTAAACTAAAAGTCCCCAAGGCATAACCCAGCATTAGTTATTAATAAATGCATTATGTCACAGGGTGAAACAGAGAACTGAATAGAAATTTGGTGGTTCAAGAAGCATTTGACCAATTATGAATTTGAAAAATGGATCAAACGGTTACAACATTTTACCAAGTTCATTATTAATCTATCCTATCCAACCAAATTCAGTCTCACTCTGATATATGAAGTGTGGACTTCAGCCATTCTACAGATTTGTGAAATGTGAAAAAGAACAAACTGATATACAAAACATATACTTATTAGGGATGTAAACAGGTAACTGGTACCCGGGAACAGACCACCACGGGCCAAGAGCTACTCCAGCCCCCCAGGGGGCCAGCAGCAGTAGCTGCCACCTGTGCACAGGCCTGCCCCCCTGCAGGGAGGTCTGGAAGCAGCAACCTGCTCACAGTGAGACTGGGAGCAGAAGCTAGCCCCCTCTGTGCCCTGGGCTGCTAGCTCCTGCTGCCGCCCCCGCCTGGGATGGGCAGGGAAGGGAGGAGAGCAGAAGCAGAAGCTGGCCTTGAGGCAGCAACAGCCCACCATGGGCAGTGTTCCCTCTAAGATTTTCCATCCATGAGCAAAGTGAGTTTTGTCTTGTGAACCAGTATTGAGTTCATGTGTGCTTGTTCGGATGCGTGCCACTGTGGCACCCAATTTATTAATAAATATCTTATAAACCTCTCCCTTTTCCCTCTGCTGCCATATCTCCCACCCTCCCCTCACCCCATCTCCTCTCCTGATGCTTGATGCTGCCCACCCCACCGACCCTCCTCTGCTGTCCTGGCTCCTGCCCTTCTCACTTCCCTCAGCCCTTTGGGGACCTGCCACTCTCCCCATCCTCCTTGACCTTCTCTTTCCCCTGTGCCCACTTCTCCTCTAGCCTCACTCTGATCATCTGTAGCTACCCTTCCCCATCCCCTCTCCTAACACCTCCCTTTACCCACCTGCCCTGCCTCTCTCCTCTGTCCTCTGCTGCCCGTCCCTCCAATCCCCCTGGCACCTGCACCTTCCAGGTGCCTCCCCCTTCCCTCACTGCCCCTGCCTTCCCTTTCCCTGGTGCCCAC